ACATTATGTAACTTGAAGCTGGCCTGTGGAAAGCGCTATACATTTGATTCCTGCTACATTTGACATTTGTCCCCTTTCAAACGCTGCCGTGCAATCCGACCATGTAGTTGACAAGGCGATACAATTTGGCCGCGGGTTGCCAAACATGTCCAGATTTGGATTCTGATCAAAAACCCACCGAGCCAAACCACTCCGAATCACGGCTGGCCGCTGACGACATGCAAAATTGAACTACTCCATTTTGGGTGAACTGCTCCAAACATTTGCGTGAGCTTTTTTCGCCATCTCGTGAATGAAGTCGATGTTTGCATGTTCGTTCTCGAGAAGCTTGTTCGAGTTTTCCCGCAAAACTCGAGCAATTTGGCGGGAAAACTTGGACAAGCTTTTCGAGAACGACCTGACGCACGCAGATTGATCAAAGCTCCAGCCTCGGTTTTCGCCTGACGCAGCTTGAGCCTGCTTGAGCACCAGTTGAGTGAGAGTCACAGAGTGCAGAGAAGTCCTTACTTCAAGGTTTTGCTTTTGTTGACTGACGTGCTCCGTCGTGTTAGAAAGTTCAATAGATCCACATCGATGAGATCGATGCCTATTGAATCTTGATGCGGATTGCGGTACGGTATCAGGCGGTATCCTCCGGAACCCAGTGTGCGTGGACAGCTCGACTTTCTCAGCTTTTTTGATCACTGCGCAGCGTTGAGCTGAGAATGAGATCATTTATGGATCAGAAGATTTGATAAAGATCATCGGTGATAACCATACCGAGGTGCAAGGATGTGCACTTTCCGGGAGCAATCTTTGGCAATTTGAACTAGCGTGTTCTGTTCATGTTCATTGCTCCAATTTGAATATTTGCACCATGGTTCTTGAAGGTTGTTGAGCTGTTGACAGGCTCGTCGAGCTGGCGGCTTTAAGCTGCTTTAGTTCCCGTGGTCAGTCGTGAGCGAATTTATAACTTGCAAGCTGAACGTCTTCTTGTTTACCCTGGTTTGAGCAAATTCACAAAACCACTCATCGTCAAAGGGAAACTTCCTCCATCTCCACGCCTCCTACCTCCTCTTGGTCCAGTTTGGACTCGATCCGGGCCTAGGGTTTTTGAACCTGAACGAACCAAACACACGGCTTCATATTGTACGTCTTATTCAATCAAAGAACTGGGTGTTCTGGTGGCCGGTTCTTGCCGCCATCAAAACTGAATCACCTGTACGGTATCGGTAGTGTCATGGAGATGAAAAGTCATACAAAGGAAAAGAAGTTTCAACACGCCGCAACTTTAACTTCTCCGTACGTATTTTCTTGGAGCTTCTTTCCCTCTAGAGAGCCGTGCGACGAGCCTATGTGTATGATTGGTTGAAACGCCCGCTTGATATCCTTACCTCCATCCTTTCGCAGAAAGAACCGCGTGTTTAAACATACAATCCTTTCAAGCCCGTCGCGCAGGGTCTTAAATCGCTCAAATGAACTTGAGATTTCCATCCTGGTAACATTCATTATCGCAAAAAATCCTCAACCCCAGATGGGGATAATAGATCATATATAATATCTTGAACTATATATCGACGCAGCATTTATTTTAGCAAACGGCAGCAAACGGCATACCTTACTCTCCACTCTTTCATATGCAAATCCCTTTCTTTGCCCACTTCTAAGTTTAATCCCTCACACCTTTCAAATCCGGCTTGGGTATATGTCCATATTAATCAAGCACAGCTATCATCTTCTATCTTAAAACCGAGAACCGCGACTCATAAACATCGATTTCTTTACTTGGCAAACATCAGCTCCATCGCAGTGTCTGATCAAACGCAAGAGACATTATTTATCCCAAATATATAAGTATCGTCATCAATCCGGGCTTTATCGGCTTCTATCAACACCATCCAATCCTTCAATTGGCACACTTCAATCCAGCCACCTGATCATTATCATACAACAGATATTTCTATCTCTACTTCATATCGTCATTGATCCGGGGTTTATCTATTTTATTGCCTCTTCCTTAGGAGTGGACATTTACATTGTTCTGTCGCAACAATCTTCATAGCTTATGTTTACGCATATAATTATGCGCTCGGTGGCCATAGCCCCGCTGCTTTCATCTTGGCTTTCTATAGTCTCGGCCGCCACCACCCCTGCAGTAGGATCGAATAGCTTCACTCCAAATGTGGTCCTTGTCATTTCTCAAACTAATGTTCAAGCCGACTGTACCATAAGGCCTTCTGTTACTGTCAATGGCACCTCACCAGGCCCAGAGTTACGCTTCAAAGAAGGAGACAAGCTTTGGATCAGAGTGATTAATACCTTACCTGAACATAATTCCACTATCCATTTTCATGGTTTAAGTCAGTTCGGAAGTCCATTCGCCGATGGTACAGAGAAAACTGCTCAGGTAATCCTCTCCCCAATCCCGATCAGACTTATGAATCATCAAAACATCTTTCTGAATCTTTTTTACCTTTGAGCAGTTTGCAATTAATCCTAATGGCGGTTACTTCGATTACGAATTTCAACTCCAGCCTGGCAGCGCAGGTAATTAGTGAGTCATTATCTTCCTTCTCCATTCTTGAGAGAGCAATATATTGAAGCACTTCAAAATCAGTATTTATCACGCGCACGTTGGGAACCAATTATCTACTGCACATGGAGCCTTCATCGTGGAGGACGACACAAAGCCGCCCTACTCTTATGATGATGAGATTACGCTTCTCATGAGCGATTACTACCATACGGTGGACGAAGAGATTGAGACCAACCTTCATTCAACTCCCTTCAAATGGGTAGGCGAACCTCAAAGTTTACTCGTCAATGGAAATGCGCTTGGAACTTGTGATCCTAGTACAGCTAAATATGGATGTGTATCAGATTGTCACCATCATACCATACTTGTCAAGCCAGACACAACCTATCGGGTTCGGTAAGTCACGTTTTTCTATCATCAGGCCATGTTTCCATGCCACTTACATTTTCCGCGCACAAATAACAGCGTCATTGGAATTACTTCGCTTGCCTTTCTCTACTTCGCTTTCGAGGATCACCCGCACTTGGAAGTCATAGGGGTCGACGGCGGCTATGTCAAAGCCGCCAAAACCGATCACATCGAAGTCCATTCTGGTCAACGCTATTCATTCCTTTTGAAGACTAAATCTGAAGCGAAGTTGAAGGCACTCAACGGAAAACGAGACTTTTGGGGGCGAATTGAGAGTAAATGGAGACCTGCTAAAGTCCATGGTGCTTTCGTATTGAGATATGCCGAAACCAATTCCCTGGATCTGAGCCACACTACAAACGACCTTGATCTCAAACTCAATACCTCATTACCTGATGTTGACGTACAAGCCTCGATATCCATCAACTCACCAACCAGTCGCGTCAGTCGAGCGGTTACACCAGAATTATCAGCATTCCAAAAGCTAGTCCCGCTTCCTGACGAAGAAGTGCCTTGGTTGCTGGATGTCTTCGAACCTCTAGACCCAAAGGAACGCGCGCCTCTAGCTAGCGAAGTTAATCGCCGAATCATCATCAGTGGTCAGCAACTCAAGTCGCCTGAAGGTACCATAAAGTGGTTCGTCAATGGAAAATCTGTCAGTCCTTTGTACCTTCCAGACGTTTTTGCATGAAGGCGTAGCACTGACAATTGTGTCCATTTCTCATGTAGTACGTTGAAACTGAACCACAGCTGCCCTTTCTTGTACGCGCCTATACCACTGGTCTCAAACCTGATTATGAGGCAGCGTCCAAAAACAATGGGTTTGATCCAACTGTAGGAGCTTATCCTATCAAATTAGGGGAGGTCGTTGAAATGGTATTCCTTAACCTTGCTTCAACTACTAATGTCTCAGAAGCACATCCTTGGCAGTGAGCCTTTTCTTCACTTTTAGCTCTTCAATCATTTTACAAAAGTCTGACACCTCTATGACTTCTTCCTTAGTTTACACGGACAAGCTGCCTACGTGGTTGGTAATGGCTTGGGGGCTTTTAGTGATGAAGAATTGGCTAAACAAGAAGCCGCAAGAAAGCATCAACCTATAGCTCGAGATACCCAAATGGTCTTCGCTGGTAAAGGGGCTACTTATTCGAATACTACTGTACCTACTGGTACACAAACCGGATGGATGGTATTGCGAATGAAGGCCGAGACACCGGGAGCATTTTTGCTCCATTGTCACATTCAGGTGGGTTTGCTTTTGATCGTTGGATTGGTACTTATCGCTTCAAGTTATAAGCTATGATGTTAATTTTTTTGTTTCCGTACCTTTCTGTAGCCGCATGCCTTCATGGGAATGGGTGTAGTACTTCTGATTGGGATGGAGAACCTCCCACCACTACCGCAAGACTTCCTCAAGGAATACATGTACGTTGAGTCGCATCAGCCTCACATTATCCTCGCGTATATTGAATCTTCCATCCCTTCCCATAGCACACCCACACCTCCTCCTCTACCTCAATCATATTTCTCTCATGATCCCAACAGGCCCAAAGTGAAAAAAGGAACCACACGAAGCTATAGATCTAGACTTCCACGGTCTTCATCGGTTGAGTTGCTTTGAATGGTATCATCCACTATCTAATTTTTTCTCCTGCATATCATCAACCCCCACATCGCTTTTACATCACCTACCATCAAGACGTAGTTACACATTCTCAACTCACGGCAACTAATAGAGCTGTTTGACTATTCAGTGGACTATTTTTACACTCGAGTTTTCTTTTCATCAATCGCATACACTTGGACAAATTAATTCGTTTTGAATTTTCAAAAACCTTGACTTGATTATTTGATAAATATCAATCAATTAATCAAATGGACTTACAGAAGTTATTTATAATCCTCTTGAACCTTGAGTAATCTTGATTTCTGAAGTCCATTTTATTTACATTTACACTGGTTTCATATCAATTCTCCATTGCATCATCTTGAAGTTGGTATTTGTTACACACGACTTCAGTATCTTTTGTCTATTGGGGGAGCATGTTTGGCAGTGTTATACTTTTCAAATGCTCTTCATAATTGTGAGCCTACTAGTGTCTGTCAGGCTAATAGAGCCAATAAAAAGTTGTGTTGATCAATACTTACAAGTATGAGCGGGGACAGACTTGGGCATAAGAAGGCGTAAGAGCTTTACTTGTAACAACCGGGTACAGACTTGGGCGTAAGAAGGCGTAAGAGCACCCACTATGGTTGCGTTAACTCGGTGATTTAGCGTTACCCTAATGCTAAAATACCAACAGGTCCACTATGCACCTGTTACAGACCTGTGGTCCGTACGGCTGCGTCAAGTCTTGCACTTCGTGTGCTCAGATTTACGCAAGCCTACGACTTGATTTATCGTAGGAACTAGGGAAAGCAGACGATAAATCATCCCATAGTGGATTTCATGCGGTTACCAACTTTGGTAAAACACGCATGGTCAAACTTTGCGCTCAGGAATGCAAACTTTACGATAAAACACTCCCACCATAGTGGGTGCTCTAAGAGCTTTACTTGTAACAAACAATTAAAGACTAAAAGTGTTGAATGTATCATCTTTGTTTTTATGATTCTCAAACATTTTGCTCTATGCTCTATGGTCCATCTCTTATCCTTCTCAATAACCTCTGATCAGTTCTGCTCCACACCTCCTTTCATTGCTGTTTACATGTTCTCCAACTCAATATACCAATTTTATAAATAGTCAACTATTCATTATGAAAAATTGCTTCCCTACATACCCTCAAACTGCTTCTCAACCTGAGGCTGTAGTTCTGCTCCCTTCCTTTATCTCATTACCTTGATTCCAGAATGAGGGCTTCATGGGTTCTTCAACTCAACACCCATTGACAGTGTTGATACTTTAACCTATTATTCACTCAATTCCTATTCAAAGGCCACTATATCTAATTATAAGTATGTTTATAAGCAGAACATGCCATATAAGAATCCCGCATATCACCATATTCTCAAATGTAACTACAACTGTCTAAAGCTTATGCATGTGCCAGCCTCTGCTCTGGTTTAAAATTGTAACCATACCAGTCTTTTGCTACTTACATGCTCATAGTTAGGTATATTCTCATCAACTTCATTTCTATCAGCATCATGTTTCTGCTTGCCAATTCATGTGGACAGTGGCACATGTTTGGCAGCGCAGTCATGCAGCCCGCAGAGCCTGCAAGCATATGCATCACCGGGTCCAGGTAGTGTTTGCTCGTTGACGAGCGCGCACAACTTCCCTTTCTGCCTCAAAGGGAGTTAATGTTTGCTCGTCGACTAGCAAAGCCTACACAGACACGGTGCATGCAGCCTAGCATCCAAAAATAAGGCCTGTGCGCATGTTTTTACCCTATGGCTGTGTAGTGAGAGGTCATAATAAGTTTTGTTTGATCAACATTCAATATACTCTTTTTTTCTTTGAACAAACTTCATCATGCCTACCAAGTGGCAGCTACCTCCAAAAGCACACAGTCAGCTGGATGACCCTGCAAGCAGTTGAGCTTGAATGTAAATGGGACTGCTCTTGATCAAAAGGTTATGCTATAAAATCACAAGTACCTCAATATCACAATGGCGACTTGCCCTTCAGCATAACTGTTTCATGTAAGTTGTCTCCAAACCAATTTCTTTGACTGATGCTGATGCTGACCAATCTCATATGTGCTCCAATCTTTGTAGATACTTGTTCTATAGATCATTGTCGTATTTTGCCATTGACTTCAGACACGAGCTCACTCAAGAATCTAGCAATCAAGATTCTTGAGATTGTTCCACATGAAGGCAGTGTTGATGGTTTGTTTTCCCTGATGAGTTTATTGAAGTCAAAGGCACAAAATTGGATGAAAGCCCAGACCTTGAATATGATATTGCAAGTGCAAATGGGTCTCTCAGCCAAACATTAACAGTACACAAACATCTCAGCCTGACCTGATAAAACCCATGGCAACCCAATTGATTTTTGGATTTTTAGCGCTAAAAACTCAAAATCAATTGGGTTGCCATGGGTTTTTTTGGATGGGTTTTTGAGGTTGTGTTGAGATGTTTGTGTACCGCTATTACAGAAGTCAATCTCAACAAAGAAAAACAATTCTTCTGAGGATAATGTGACCAATGATCATCTGGAAATTTTTGTACTGACTGATGAGCTTGATACTTTCAAAGACTGGGTCATGGGAGATGACTTTTCAGGTGAATTTGAGGGCTTCATGTTTTTTTTTTTTTTTCTCTATTCAAGCAAAAGAGAATCAATATTTCATCCTTTACACCAAATCTAGTTGTAGAAGATGAACCTTTTAGCTGGTCTGCAGCTGGTCTTTTTTAATGTTTGATTTTTTTCAAACGTTTTTGAATGAAAACACTTGACTGTGATTTTGGTACCGCGCACTGCTTGCACCCCCTTTGCGCGCACTTTCAGTTGACAGACAGCCACATGTATGCGCGTGGGCTGGTACTCACGCTCACACCCGGGGCCCCGAAGCCACGAGGCGCCCCGGAGGGGCACATGGCCGTGGCCAGGGCTTAGGCCACGCGTGGCCCTCACCACAAGCCCTTCATGACCTTCATAGTGCATGAAGTTCAGCTTAATTCCCCTTCAAAGAGTGCCTTAAGCAGGGAGTAGCACCTGAAGATGAGTTGGGCTATGATCAAAAGTTGTTTCAAGGGCAGGCCACACAGGGCTGGGCTGGGCTGGGCCACGGCCCTGGCCACAGCCCTGGCCACGAAAAAGGTGCCGGGTGTGAGCGTGAGCTGGTACAGAAAGAACAGCTGAGTTTAATTCTGGCCTTTACTCCTCCAAGCTTTGTGAGTAATTTACAATATGGTTGCCATTTTGTTCAGTTCACTTCATCGATCGATTGTCTCTTCATGCTCAAAGCGTAAACTAAACAGATACAAAACAAGAGAAGAAGTCCTAAGCAGTCAAATATCAAGTCTTTGTATTTAATCTTCTTCATATCTTGTACAGTCGTTTTCAAAAAGGTTGAAATCGAGGCGTTTCAAAAATTGAGAGGTGGACCGTGCGCCACCTGTGAAAGGTGCAAAATATGCATATAGAAATGCTGCTCTAGCAGCCTAACTACAGCAGCTTCCAAAATCACTGTGGCACAGTTGGTCGAGAGTCCGCGTTACGCTTGATCCAACAGGTTCCGAAGCTACTACCATTTTGAGTTCGAACCGGACTCGATTTCATTTTTGTCATCACATTTTGACAAGCTTTTCTTGTTCAATCTGCTCGTTATCGTAAAATACAACAGTGAAATAGCTCGATTATCATTGTTTGCTTGCATGTGATTGTTTTTGCTCTATCAGCAAGTCACGACAAAAACTATAGGCAATTAAAAGAGTCGCACCGAGTCGAACATGAGACTGCCAGCAGAGTACTACTCGGACGTCTCCTTCTGACTACTGCGCCACCGAAAGATGAGTTGTTTGCGTGGACAACTTCCTTTATACCGTATAATAGCGTATAATGCTCGATCTGACCCGATCTGACAGGTAAGTTTGATACCTTTCACGAGTGGCGCACGGTCCACCTCTCAATTTTTGGAACGCCTCGATTTCAACCTTTTTGAAAACGACTGTATCTATTCTTAATTCTAACTCGGTCATGACACCTACTTCTTCACTCCAAAAAGACAAAAAAAACCCTTGTAAACTTTCTTTATTTATCACACAAACTGAATTTCATTCTCCATGACCGAAAATTTAATCATGAAAAAGAAAAAAACATAACAAGAACATCTAGGATACTAGTCATTTCATTCAAATAAATGATTTAACTGAAGAAGGAAAAAAACATTTTCTCTTGATCTTTAATCTCTATTGAGCTTATCCCTCGACTCATACATTTAGATCCCAGAATCAATGATCGAAAAAGGTGTTATAATCTAACCGATGATAACTCTGACGAATTAAAGAATGCAAGAAGTCAGTTTATAAAAAAGGAAAGAAACTTTGAATCTAAAAGAAAAGATGCGGTCTTACTTTCCCTCTTCATCGTTGAATTCGTATGAAGGTACTTCTAAGTTCAAGGGTGCTGGTCCACGACGAATTCGACCACTGATATCTATTAGCATAAACGATAGAATGCAAAGGTCAAAAACTATTACGAGTTAGAATGAAACAAAGTGATATCTAAATTACCATAATGAGAACCGTGGCCTAGATCAAAAAAATGAACAATTAGTCTTACTGATCAAGACACGTACCTAGAGTAATAAGAACGTACAAGGGCAAAACCATCCTCCATAATCACCAGCTTCACCAATAGGTACACAACCCAAATGAGTACAAACTCCCAACATAATTAACCATTCTGGTTTTTTAATTCGATCAGTATCAGCTTGAGGATCACGTAACGAACTAATCTCTACTGAATTAGCTTCATCGATTTCAGAAGAAGTTCGATGACGGATAAACACCGGTTTACCACGCCATTTGATAATCACATTCTTTCCTTCTGGTATATTACCTAATTCGACTTCTACTTTAGCTAAAGCTAATACATCTGCTGAAGCTGATAAATTCGTTAAGAAATCGGATACTAAGGATTTAGCTCCTGCTGCTGTGATTAATCCCATAGATCCTACCATCAAGTAAGAAAACGCTCGACCTGAATCTTCAGTTGAAGTACGATAAGCTGAATAATCGGGTACGGTTGTGCTATCTTGAAATGATGCTTCAGATGATTTTGGTAAAAGACTGTGTTGAGAAGTAGATGTAGTGAATTGTCTTTGATGAGCCAAGGTAGGCTTAGCTATAGATATGAATAACGAATAGAATACATAAGTTAGAATTTGTGTATTATAAGTCAAAAACAATCAGGAAAAAAGACAAACTTATGAGTGGAGTACGGCTGACGAGTTGGCCAAGAGGACCAGCAGCACTGATACTTCCGAATCGTGGAATGTGGTGATCCATTCGAAATTTTAAGCTCGGTGCATCATCGTGATGATGATCATCATGTGAGTGAGGAGCTTGAGCATTGAGATTGAGTCGAGATGCGATCGGGATTCCTCGAGAGCAAGTACCACTGTGAAAAGAGTTACATATATGAGTTTGCTTCAGCTGAATTGATAGTTAGGCTGATTTCTCGATCATCAAAGGCATGTTTCTGACACTTACACGGTGACTGGAAGAGAGATAGCCTTGCGTTGAATAGCAGCCCAGTTTGACGAAAGACTTGAGATAGCCATTTTTGATTAAGTTTTGAATTCGATTTGAGATGGTAGGATGTGTTTTCGAATGTTCTTAAAGGAAGTTTAAGTTTGTTGACTCAATTTACCATTCCGACCACTTCACTTTGGGCTCTATGACTCTGACCTCGTAACTTTCGGGTGAACCCGACGAGTTCAACCAATTGGAAGCGATCAAAAGCAAAAAGCCCTAACCCTAATGAAATTAAACTGAACAGACCCTAGGACCATATGTCCCCTAGGAATTTTAAGTAACACTTCACAAGTCCCAAGTGCAACTTTATGTCCATAAACTTGATTGTATTTCAAGCAACAAGACATTTCTTCAAGTTTATAGAATTGTAAAACAAATATTCAATCTTCCTCAAGTGCGCAAAGATCAAAAGAATAAGTAAGCTAGTGATCAAGAAGTTGTCTGGATTCAGAAGACATAAGAATCCATGCCCACATTCTGGAGTTCTTGCTGCAGATCATTCATGATGAACATCAGTCAAGAAGACCATGGCAATCAACACAGAATAGATGACATTTAGTCCAACTTGACCAAGTACCTCTAGTCAGACACTTTTCCCTTGCATGCTTGGGTGTCTGGAGAGACTTTTCCAAAGACTTTGGACTTTGGTGGTCCTGAAGATGAACAAGTTGAATTATCATTCCCAGCACTAGATGTTCCCTCAAGTCATCCAATCACCAATCTTGTGTTTTTAAATTTCAAGCTTTCAATTGATTCTTTAATGAAAAGATATTTGCTATTTTCTATAGTGTTTTCTCTTCTTCACAGATGTGAGGAGTGCACATCTATTGGGTGTACTCTTCACTAAGAATATGATAAGAAAGGTAAAGTGTGGTCTTCAGATGGTACACCCAAGTGAAGACTACAGCTAGTTGACCTCTAAGAAGAGGATTTGAGAAAGAGAAAAGAAGACTAAGGGCAAATAAAGAGCTGGTGCGCTCTAACAACACTGGATCACTACGCTACTCAACGCTATCAGGACCAATCCAGATAGCGTAGATGAGCAAGTTATCATAATAACACAATGTCATCATTCTGGGGACTATTAACTAACACTTTGTAATCAATGTGACTTGAACAAGCTAAAAATAGAATTGAAATTGCAAAAACGTAACTGTAGAGCGCTACAAAAACGTGCTAACAACTAACATAACATAAAAAAAATCAATCCGCTTTGCTGTAAGCTATAGCAGCAAGGGCTGACTCGGTGGTAGAGACTACTGTGATTCTTTGTGTTCATTGTGAGGTTGCGAGCTGTTGTGAGAGTAGGACTTTAGTGTCAATAGCCACTGTATGATCATCAAATTGTGATAAAACAACCCAATTCCAATGTAAACCAACCACAGGGCAAACTGACTCGCGTGTTGGGGTTGAGGGTGCATACAGAATACTATCTCATAATACATCCTACAAGTTTGTTACAACTATTTACATTAAGGATCTTCACATTCAGGAGGTGAAGTCCTCAAATTGGTGCAGGGGCACACTAACCAAAGCTAATAGCTAACATCAAATCTCAATGGCTGTTAACGTAGATGAACAAAAGCTAACGCTAAAAACATAGCAATACCAAGTTAACAAAAATTCCAGGATCTGGTAGCGTAGATCACCACATCTAATGGAAAACATTGATGTAGATGGATGAAAAAGTTACACTACCAGCTTCTCTAACACTTTTTTAGCGTAATTGGTCCAGCGTTGGCTCTAACCTTGTGAGACTGGGAGAGGCAGGCTTTACACTTTGGTAAACCAAAGATTCTGTAGGCTACTTTAGACTCCTTAAAATGGAGGAAGCCTTGCTACTTTAAGGTTTATTTCTAGAGACAATGAATGCCCTGGGCTAGTAGAAATAAGTACCTTGGGTGTTCAGCAATGGAACCCGCAATGCTCAAGAATGGTCTTTAACAAGCTACACAACTAACCATGTACTCAAACATCCTCTCAATAGGAGTCGAGTAACCTGTGGTTCTGTGTTGTGATGCTAGTAAAAGATGGGAAATGAATCAAGGGAAGATGGGGGGTTTATATATTCATGGGTCAAGCATCATCTTGTGGTTGGCGTGTGATCCTTGTCTCAACTTGTGGTTGACGCTTGGGTTCGGTCTGTTATGTATTTATTACATCATGTACATGTGTTTACATGGCTCTTGACACTGAGCCTTGAGATGTACTTATGGGTTTATACAATATCATAATATTACATGTGGTACTGTTAGCCTGTGGTCCTGTAATCAGGGCTCAGGACTAGGTCTGTGACCCGGCCCTGGCCCCGCCCGGCCAACTGTGCCCGCTGGTTTTCTGGAAGCAGACCGTACGCGCCCTGACACACCAAAACCTACTTGATAAGGACGAAGGGTCATAAAAGCCCTCTGAGCACCCGGGCGGCCTGTCCGCCCCGGTGCCCGTCATTTTTTTTGCTGAATAATCTAAAAAATTGCCATTTGAGTTGGGTCCCATGGCTCTCTCCAAGGTCTAAGTAGGCTGATACAGTGGAATTCCTTTATAAGCATAGTGATGGTTGGGCAAAATCTTATGCTTACATAAAATATGCTTCTTATCGAATAGGAGCATAATTCCCAATCAAGGAAAATGCTATGCTTAAGGAAAAAAATAGCGCTTGACCATTTTTTTTTCAGATGGGAGGTGCTCGATACAAGGCAAGAAAGGTCACAGAAGCAATATTTGTAACCTAAAGGGTCTTGTGTAAAAAGACACAAAGATTTTGGAGCATGTATTGTGGGACAAGAGTACAAATAGAAAGTGATGTAGGGTCTCAATTTTTTCTTGTAGAATTGGAGTGGTTTATGTAGGTCGTTGTGATTAGACATGATTTGAAACTCAATCAGAGGAGTTGCTTAGGGAGAGAAGTAATCAAAAGACCAAAATCAAGCAAAATCAACATCAAGTAATTATAAATAAGATGAGAGAAAAAAAGAAAAGATCGAGAGATTTGAAAGACTCACTCATTGAGTTGAGTACTGCCATTTTCATCATCAGAAGAAGAAGACAGATCAGATGATGAAAAAAGAGAAACACTCAAGGTGTCAGGTACATGAGCTGGCTTTCTATTGGAAAAGAAGCTACATAGTTACAGCCATTGTGAGAACTATTGGTAAGTTTCGAGGTGATGGGTGTCGCCGAGTTTTAACTAGAGTTTAATCTGTGGTCCAAAACTCGGTTTTTTTCGATTTCACAGGCCTAAACCTTGTTTTGGCTCCTGCAATAGGCCTGTATCTCACGGTCCTCATGGTCAAAAAGGAGTTTTCTTTAGTTTTTGCCAGTTTTGGATTAAATCTCAACACAACACAAAATAAAAAAAAGTTACCATTAGTTCTCACAACGGCTGTATCTTTGGCTGAGTCAAATTTTCAGTCTGTCACATGCTAAATAGGAGCATATGAGCCCAGAATGCTTGATTTAATGCTTCTATTCCCATGCCTACCCCCCATTTTTAGAAGCATATCTTCCAAAAGATTATGCTTTAAGCTTATATGCTTGTATTTGCAAAATTACCGCCAACCAAAAATGGTTGGATGGGGTTTGATGCTTATAGAAAATTATGCTTGTGTAGTGTATGCTTACAAAGGAATTTCACTGTATAAGGTTTATGTACAATTTTATACACCTAGAGCTGCAACAAACACCAGAAATCCCCCCCTATGGCCCCTTTTACCTCTTAAAATCAATGCAGGGTGTGCCCCGGCTGGTCCTGAGTGTTTTCTGGATCCCCTTGGGTCTTCCCAAGGCCGGGCAATGCCACAGGGCCGCCCTGTCTCACTCAGGGCCGGGTCACAGCCCTACTCAGGGCCAACAAAAAACATGACCCAAATCAAAGTACATATATTGTCTCATCACTCTTGTAAAACCTTACATTGATTTTTTTCTCATATATTTTGACATGAATTCTTCCTAATCATACCCTCCATAACTTCTTTGGAACACAGCTCAATAATCAAGCGTAAACAATTATCTCCTTTTGAGATCTAACTCTTCATCTGATTTTTAACTTTACAAGACCGGTAGAAATTGAATTTTAATTTCTTGAGTTCAACTTGTTTAAAGACTTCAAAAGTGTGTTGATTTGTCTTTTCAATGGACTTGGAGCAAGTATCTAGACATGTTGAATAATTTTTTGAATGAAAGTTACTGAAAAAATAAAATAATTCATTTCAAAATCATACCACTGTGGATCTGGTTGATTCACAATAATTCATTGTATATACTGTAAATTAGATGGTAAATCATCCCATAGTGGATTTACGGTGCACCAAGGTCACCTTTTTTTGCAGGTTGGAAGCTGTCATGAAGAGC